TTGTAGCGAGGAGGGGGGGGGGGGTGAAAAAAGTAAAGGGATTAAGAATTACAAATTGCCATTTATTAAAATAGTCACGGGGATATAAAGTATAGCATTGGAAATACAATCGGTAATATTGTAATAACTATATATAGTGTCAGAAATGTCTAATCATTATGTGCACACCTGAAACTAATATTATATGTCAATTTTAATCAAAAAATTTTCAGGTTTTTAAAAATCAAACACAAATTAACATTACAAAAAGAATTAAAATGGTTCCTGATTGTACCAAAATTGACATAATATACCCTATAATATATAACGTACATTATATATTTATATATGTATTTTACATGTTAACACATTACTAAAATACATATTAATATTTATATTTTTATATATATTGAGAAAATAAATAATTATATCAATGTAGTTAAGAACCAAGATTTCCAGTATTGGAGAAGTGAGATAAATATAAAATCAAAAAGGTAAAACCCTATAATTATAAATTGGAGTTGTCAATATGTACTTTTGAGGTATTTTCTCATCTCCTTTTTAAAATAAAAAGTATTTGTTAAATCATTCTCCTGAAAGGCCTAGAAAAATGACCAACCCAATAGTGATGAGCACCCCTAACACCCATATTGTGGTCTCCAAATACCATTTTTGATTAAAGGAATCAAGGGTCCCGGGAGAAATGGTCTAGAACAGAAAATGAACAATATCCTGCCAAAACAGAAAGCAAAGGAGACAGAAACAACTACAGGGATTTTATCAGATGGACTCAGTAATCCATGTGAGCTTCCCACTGCCACATGGCACAATTTGAGCACCAATAAGCATAACTGTGACACATTTTATGATAATAATCCATGATTTCATAATGATAAACACATACCTACCACTCATTAGTCATTTCTGAAAAATGCTGAGAAACTATGTCACTAAATTAGCGACTAAAGGGAAAGAATCATTTAACCTACCTTCCCTGTTTGACCAAAGAATAGAGAAAGCTCTCTCCCTTTATATTCCAGCGAAGAAATAAATGGGAATGACAGAATGAGAATGTCATCATTTTTCAAAGCCCTAATGAAATATGAGATTTTGGCAGTGATCATTAGTGGACATTAACATCAGGAAAGAGAAAAACAACCAAACACCATATGGCTCCTGACTGAAATACATATGGACATATAAAAGTATTCTTACGTGTCACTCCCCCTACCCCCCAAACACATGCACACAACCAATAGGACCTAAATCTAAACCAGCCTCTACATTTTTATTACCAATTTACACAAAATACAGGAGAGAGAAAAGCATGTTGAATGACTTTATGGAAATGATCAGCAAAGTTTTGAATAAGGCTAACTCTACTGGACTAACAACTCAGTTTATCCAAAAAATATGTTAAAAAAGAAAGCCAGAGAGGCAAAGAGGTAATTTGAGATTAAGTAAAAGATATTTTTGAGACAAATCAACCGAATGCACTGGTTAGATCTTATTGGATCCTTGCAGAAACAACTGTGTTAAAAAAAGAAACTACAATAAATAGATTTGATCGCTGTCTCAATGTTCAATGATACTAAAAAATTATTATAAATTTTACATATGAAATATAGTGTTTATGTTTATAGAAAAAGTTCTTTTTCATAGAAATACTGAAATTTTTTAAGGATTATGATAAAACGCCTGAGATTAACTTCAACATAATCTAATGCAGGTAGAGGGAAGTGTCAGGTTATCCTACATAAATGAGTTGATGGCTACTGAGCTAGGTAATGAGTACATCGGAGTCTGTTATGCTAAACTGTTCCATTTGGGGGAGTGCTTGAAATTATCTGTCACAAAAAAAGTTTTTAAAATTTTATCTCCAGCTATGAACTCTCTTCAGAGTTCCAGTGTGACCACAGATGACATGTCCACTTTAGTCTTACAAACTCAGCCACATTCAAAACCAACTCTCTACCTCTGTCTACTTCCCTGCCCGCTTTATCTCTGTTAAAAGACACCATCATTCTAGCAGTGAGTCCTCTCTCATCTTCCACATGTCATCAGGTATATCAATTTCTGTGTGGACTGTAACTTACTCCCTCCCTTCCTTTCCTTTCCTTATCACCGCAATGCTAGTTCAGCTCTCACTACCTCTCTCCTAGTGCTTCCTAACTCAAATCCGACCTATATTATCACCCCTCCAGTCTTTATTCCCAAAATATCCCTATAAGCACCTTATTCTTGAAACAAATTTAATACCCTTCCCACCCCCCATTTATTTATCACTGGAGATGTCTATTGGACTTTATCTATAGTTTAATTGATAACTTCTTCCTATTATGTTTCCATAACATAAGCAGAGTACATTAACTTACTGAAATCTAATTGATTATACAGAAGCATAAAGCAGCCTCTTAAATTTGTTCTTTAGATTAGAATCACTTCAATTCTCATGTCATGACTCCACCCTATTGATTATTTATGCTGCTTTGGTTTCGAATTTTCTGGATTGAGCATTCATATATACTACTGGAGTTCACCTGATGAAGTATACTTGGTGTGTGATATGACTAACAACATATATCTAATATAAATATCACCTATGAAGCAAAATGACATGGCAATCCAGGCGCAGGCGACAAAAAGAAAATCAGTAGTATTTAAAAAGGAACTTTCAGAGGAGTTAAATATTTGACACTGTAGCACACATAAATGATGAAGTTGCCATTCCTTAAAGCTGGTTTCACAATTAGAAAGTTTATTTCCTGCACCAAACTCTGTTTTGGCCTTTGATGAAAGTTCACATTAGGGAGCTGTGGATACTTTTAAAACAAAAAAGAGGTATTTTAGTAGTGGCCATGTTCATTTAAAGTGAACCCTAAATTCTTACAGTTTCTCCAAGGGGAAAAAAAGCTGAAAATGAAATGAAAAATACAGAAACTTAGCTGTGTTATTACTGAAGAGTCATCTTTGAACTCTTTAAAACATTACTTTTTTAGATTTTTACATTTTATATTAATAATCATTTTGCCATTATCAGACCTTCTCTCCCAAATTAAAGGAATTGCCTAGAAAAACCATCAAAGAATCATGACCCAAAAGAATTATACACTATACTTAGCACATACTGTAGAATTAATCATAGCTCACATCCACTGGAGCACTAGAGTTCATCAAATAGAAACGTGACATTTAGATTTAAGGAGCTAACAGAAATGTTCTACATGTGGGTTTTGAAATAGGGGAAAAAGCACCATTGGATCTCTAAATGCAACACCTTGGACAATGCTACCAAATGGGGCTCTTGAAGAAGTACCATGTAGAAAAGACCTTCTTAAAATGTAGAAACCACACTGATCTAAGACATGGAATTTTTCATATGTACCATTACAGAGTTTATCATTAAAATAGAAAATAATGAAAAGGAGGGGAGGGGGGAGCCTGACATAAATCTAATTGTCAATACAGAGTAAAATTAAAAAGAAACAAAATAATGTCAAATATAGAATAATGGTTTTCTCTGAGGGGCTAGAGAAGGTCTGAGTGTAATTAGGGCTTCTGTATTGGCAGTATTTTATTCCTTAAGATGAATTATTCATTATTTTTTATATATCTATATACCTTTATGATATAACATAACCTCACAGATATAAAAGTTCTGTTTGACGTTTTATTTTCGAGTCCTCCAGCATTTTAGGCTGCCTCATTAAGAGGAGGCAAAAGATTCAAGACTTAACACACTTACCTGATTAGACTTTTCTACTGTACTGCTGGGAACCTCAGTAGTATCTTTCACAAAAAAATTGTCTATTATGTGTCTCTCGGCACATTCTTGGCTGCAAACTGGACATCGAATGACCCCAACTGGAAAAGACAAAATTGCATTCTGTTTTTTTTTTTGTTTTTTGTTTTTTTTTAAGTAAAATTAACACATTATTTTCAGATGTAAGACAATGATTTGATGTCTGTACACACAGCAAAATAATCACCACAATAAGTTAACATCCATCACCATACATAGTGACAATTTTTTCCTCGTGAGAACTTTCAAGATCCACTCTCTGAACTACTTTCAAATATGCAATACAGTATTATTAACTATAGTCACCATGCTATACACATTACATTCCCATGGCTTATTCATTTTATAACTGGAAATTTGTACCTTTTTGACTCTCTTCACCCATTTCATTCATCCCCTCACCCCCTCCTCAGGCAAACACCAATCTACATCCATGAGCTTGCATTTTAAGTTTTAATACAAATATGTCATGCACTAAACCAACATATCTCATCCAAACTGTGAATAGGTTCTTTTAAAATGTTCATTCTCTTCAAATTCATGCCTGCTGTTATTTAATACAAAGCAATTTAGTTTATATACATATATGGAGTATAAATATATGTGTGTATACATATCCCACACCTAGTACAGTAAATGAATAAATCCTCATAATTTTAAATGAGCTGCTCCTCCAAATAAACACCCCCGTGGGCCATCATTTTTATAGTTTCACTTCTCCGGCAGTGGTTTTCAAATAGGGACGTGCAGAACCATGTGGGACATTTCTAAAAGAACAGAGAGCTCTAGTTCTCTCTGGACCTATAGAATCAGCATTTCCAAAAGTGGAGCGCAGATATACTTAGACATATTTGTTTCATCTAAAGTCTACATGGGAGATTAAGAAACACTATTCTGTTTCTCTTTAATAAGTGCAAATAATGTTCCTTTGGGGATGTTACTATTACTTAAAAAAATAAATCATTTTTCACAGTGCTTGGTAAAGCAAATGATTATAAATAAGTTAAAATTTAAATTTTTAATTAAATTTTAAAAAAGTCTAATATAAACTTGATGCTGTAATTGTAGCAAGGAGACTGTAATAAGGTTCCCAGATATATTTTTATAAAATGAAATGCATAAGAATGAATACAAAAAAATCCAAAGGTCAATTTCACTTATATATCCAAGCAATAAACAAATTTTTTAATTAAAAAATCCATTTTTACAATAGAAACTAAAATTTTCTCCATGTGGCGAAAAATGTGAAACTATCTTTAGAAAGTTAAAAAAAAATCTAAGTAATGAAAAAACCATGTTCATGACAGTAAAGACGGCAAGTCTCCCCAAACATATCTACAGATTCAGTGCAGGTTTAATAATAACCCAAACAGGAATTTCAATAGAATTTTGACAAGCCAGAAGACGCGTCTACCAAATAAGACTATAAAGCTATAGTAATTAAGATAGTGTGATATCCATGTAAGGATAAACAAAAGAACAAAAGATACACACCAGAAATAGGCTCGCATATATGGACATTTTACATATGATAGATGTGGCAGTAGACATTAGTAGAAAAAAAAAGATGAACTTTAATGATGCTACAGTTCTCTAAAACGGGAGGGGAGTGAAATTAGAGCCCTATTTTACTCAATTCAAAAAATAATTATTTTGGAAAAATTAAGAATTTTTAAACTTTCACAAAGAATATCTGTGTACCCTATGAGCAGGTATACATTTCTTAAGCAAACAAAAAGAACGTAAGGGAAAGATTAATGAATTCAACTTCACTGAAGAACGACAGCTAGTCAAAAGATTACTATGAAGAAAGTGATTAATAATTAAAATCCGTAAATATGTGACAATGCACTTCACAGAAGAAAAAGATTGCATAAACACATTTTCTCTTATTTCTCCAGATAACTACAGCTAAAAACTAGACATCCAATATAAAATCAGCACAAGAAAACTGTAAAAGGTAGAGAGAAGGCAGCAGAATGGCTAGAGACCTCAGGACCCAAGGGATCTAGGTTTTCTTTTAGCCTTATATATTCCTAAGTGGATGTTCATGAAGCCACTATCCCACAAACACTAACAAGTATAAACAAACAAACAAACGAGCCCACAAAAGCCTGCTCTTTCTATCCAAAGGACCAGGAAAAGGGCAGTCTAGCAAGACAACACTTCTAGGTAGTGACTACTCTACTTCAGCCAAACACCACAGAAAACGTACTCCCTTTCCCACCAGCAAAGGCCCAGTGGGAAGCCTAGACTTCCACCTGGGCTAAGCAGAAACCAGGTGCCCTTACTACCTTCTGCTGGGTATATGAGAGAAGACTAGTGGGGAGCAGGGGCTTTGATCCTCACTGGGTGGTAATGAGGCCCCCTGCAGTGTCACTGGAGACCATGTGAGGAATGAAATCAGTTAGCAGTAAATATGTTTAGGCATTACATCACAGAATCCAGAGATGTTAAGTATAGGCTTTAATTAAATGTTTCAATTGTTTTGGTTGTCATATAACTTATAGTCAAAGATTAAGAAAGTACGTCAGTCATGTCCTAGAGGCCTGACTGTAAAGCAAGCCCAGGAAAAGTGTTAAGTGTACTTTGCTTGAGATAATAGAGAAATTTAACTAGTTAAGTAAGAAGCAACAATAGTTTAAATAACAAAGGTCACAAGATGTTTAGTTTCTGCCTTTTGCTTTATAGATATCACTGACACGCAATCACGAGATGCTTTTGCAAATCCTAATTAGAGCACCTGACCACAGTTAAGAAGGCTCCAGCAAGATGACATCAGGAATTGGAGAAAACCACAGAAGCTTGTACAAGAACTAACCAATCAGCTGCACCAAAGACCCCTAACCCTCAATCTTTGCCTTTAAAAATCTGTGATTAAAAGTTATCGAGGAATTTGGGTTTTAAGCGATAGCTTCATGTTCTCCCTGCTTCATGCCCTGCAAATAAACAGCTCCATTTCTTCACTGCAAGGCTCGATGTTCAGTGTTTGGCTCTGCTGCACACTGGGCTGATGGACCTTCACTGGTTGCGGTATCAGGAGCCTGAACTTGCAACCTCCAGCACAATAATGAAACACTCCTTCACTTCTATGTTGTGCTGGCATCAGAGGAGGCCTATTGGACAGTCAGCACTTTCATCGCTGCCTACCAGTAACCTCCCTCCCGCTATGTCCCCATCCCTTATTAGAGATGTTGTCTGCAAAAATCTTCTCCCATTCAGCTGTGTTCATGAAGAACACATGGAAAGCAATAAATAGGCACCCGTGTCTCTACCAGCCAGGGAGGTATCAACGGAGGCTTAGTGGGATACTGCCATCCACCAGTAAGAAGGAGGCTCTTCCCCACCCAGGAGTCAAGACAGGCAGCAGAAGGAGTATAGACTTCAATTTGTACTTCAACGAAGGCAGTAAATAATAAAAAAGCAGAAATCAACCCATGGAATTAAAAACCGAAAAGTCAATAAAACAAAAAGCTGGTTATTTGAAAAGGTCAATAAAATTAACAAGCCCCCAGCAAGACTGACAAAGGAGAAGACACAACTTAGAAACATTAAGATATGAAAAAAAGGACTATCACTACAATCATAAAAAAGATAATAGGAGAATACTAAGAAAACAACTCATATAAATGTGACAGTTAAGTGAAATGAGCCAATTATTCAAAAAGCACAAAGTACTATGACTTATCCAATATGAAATAATATGAATAGCCCTATAAGTACATTGAAGTTAGCTCTAAACAAAATGAAATACTTAAGTGTAAACTTAAAACATGTACAGGAACTGGAAACTACAAAATGCTGATAAGAGAAATCAAAGTTCTAAATAAGTGAAGAGACATAGAGTGTTAAGAGATAAACAGTGTAGTAAAGACGTCAGTTCTCCTTAATACAACCTACAGGTTTAACACAATTCTTAATATAATCCTAGCAACATTTTTTTGTAAATTTAGAGAATATTATTTTAAGCTTTACATAGAAAGGCAAAGGAACAATAGCTAAATCAGTACTGAAAAGAATGAAGTAGAGAAATCGCTTTATCCAATTTTAAGACTTATTATATAGCTACTGTAATCAGAAATGTGTGTTATTGACCAAGGGATTCACACACAGATGAAACAGAATAAGACCTGAAACAGACCCACACAATAGGGACCCCTGATTTTTGACCAGATGTACAAACATCTTTAAGCTGACAAGTACAAAATGCTGATGAGAGATATGCTGCATTCATGGACTGGAAGACACATTGCAGTAAAGATGTCAATTCTCCCCAAATTGATCTATAATGTATTTCTATCAAAATCCTATACAAGATTTTTTATAGATACAGACAAGATTATTCAGAGTTATGAAAAAGGAGGGTAATAGAAGAGCTAAAGCAATTTTGAAAAGGAAAAATAAGTGAGAAGAATCATTATCCAATTTTTTAAAAAATTAAATTAGGACAATGGTTAATAAAATCATATAGGTTTTAAGTGTACAATAATACATCATCTGTATATTGCATTATGTTCACCACCCAAAGTCAAATCTCCTTCCATCACCATATATTTGACCCCCTTTACCTTTATCTACCTCTTCTCTCCCCTCTTTTCCTTTGGTAACCACTAAACTGTTGTCTGTGTCTATGTATGTTTGTCTGTCTTGTTTGTTGCCTTCGGTTTCCTATCTCACGAGTGAAATCATATGGTTCTCAACTATTTGACTTATTTCACTTAGCATGATAATCACAAGATTCAACCATGTTATTGCAAATGACAGTATTTCATATTTTCTAATGGCTGAGTAGTATTCCATTGTATACATGTACCACATTTTTATCTAATCATTTATCAAAGGACACTTAGGTTGCTTCCATGTCTTGGCCACTGTGAAGAATGCTGCAATGAACATCAGTGTACATACATTTGTATGGATATTTTCAAATTTGGGGGGTAAATACCCAGAAGAGGAATTGCTGGGTCTATTCTTAATTTTTTGAGGAACCTCCATACTGTTTTCCATAGTGGCTGTACCAATTTATAGTCTCACCAGCAGTGCAGAAGGGTTCCTTTTTCCCCACAGCCTCTCCAACACTTGCT